ATAATGATGATGATGGTGGTGATGGTAATGATGCTGATGATGGTGGTGATGATGATGACGAAACGCCCAGTGAGGACGCGGGGGAACACCAACCGAACCACCGCTTCGGCCGCACATAGCGTCCTAGCTCAGCCCCCGTGGGTCACGCGATGGCCTCGGGCTCGTAACGTGCCTGGACCTAGCAATGCGAAACAAACCGCAAACACCTTCTCGGTTCCCAAGCGTGTGAAACTCGTCCCCTCCACAGCCCCGAGGTTCCCCGTGCGGGCTGAGGGATGCCCCCAAAAACAACCCCGCCTCACCAAAGAAGTCAAACCTAGCAAGAAATATACGGGCCCCAATCCAACGCTTCCTCCCTTTGGGCATCTCCAGAACGATGCCAAGATTGCATTAGCGTCCTTTCTTTTCCGATGGGCCCCCCAGGGCCTCGAGATGACCCCAAGCGGATCCCACGTGGCCCCAAGAGAGGTCATTATGGACCCCATACACGACTCCCCAGCCCGATTCAAGCGAGCCGGCAAGACCGCCAAGATGAGGGGTCGGCGGATGTGGCGTAAGCCTATAGAATCTGAGTGTGAGTCAGTCTGTGTATGAGTAAGTCTGGGTATGAGGAGGAGATGGGGAGGAGAAGAGGGAGAAATAGTAGGAGGCGTCCAAGCAATAACAAGAACCCCATGTTAGGATATGGGGAATAGCAAGAACCCAATCTTAGGATATGGGGAACAAGCAAACCGCTTGAGGCATCCCCACAAAACGGCCGCGAACAGGGCGTGCGTGAGTCTCACCATGAGTAAGTCTGAGTAGGAGTGGGTCTGAGTGTGAGTAGGTATGAGTATGAGTAAGTTTGTGTGTGAGTAAGTCTGTGTCTGAGTAAGTCTGAGTGCGAGTCAGTCTGTGTATGAGTAAGCCTGGGTATGAGGGGGAGAGGGAAGGAGAAGGAGAAGGAGGAAGAGTAGGAGGCGTCCAAGTAATAACAAGAACCCCATCTTAGGACATGGGGAACAATAACCCCATCTTAGGATATGGGGAACAAGAACCCCATCTTAGGATACGGGAAACAAGACCACCATCTTAGGATATGGGGAACAATGGGCACATCAGCCGGAACAAAAAACAGACTATCAGACATAGCACATGGTTAAGGGGTATGGTTTGATGAAGCGGCCTCAAGACCCGCCCAGACGGCCCAATATTAGGTCGGGCCTGTCCTCCTAAAGGCGGATGATGAGAAAAAATAGAAGACAGTCAAACATATCCAAGCTAAAACATCGTCCTCAGACTATGGTTTGACCTTTCTTGAATATCCCTCCTGTAGAGGGACATGCCCGACTTCACCCCAAGATGGGTGTACAAACCTGATCGGGAGAACCCGATAGAAAAATCGCACCCACACGGCCGTAGAACACCCAAAGAGCTCGCAGCAAGCTCTTCAACCGCCACCATGGAGCATGAAGAGACCTCCAAAAGGCCCCCTAGGATGCTTCCCAGGAGCACTCAATCAGTTACCATCAGAAACCAACAAAAACACAAATTCCAGCGCAACGGCCAAGCAACTGTACACCCACGTCCAGCTACAGCATCGTGGCGTTGCTGCCCAGACAGCGCCGAAATGGTTATGCCGATCCTTTCGTAAAAGCTCGGTGGAGAGAAAAAACATCCTTGGTAATTTCGATGCTGCGCTGGTAAGGCGGCGAGGCGTACCGCAAGCAGATGGATAGTACATTATGGGTCCACGGTCCCAAGGCTGATCAAATCGGACTTGCCCGCAGTCGCAGACTCTGATCCCACTTTAAGACGTGCACAAAAGCAGCGATGCCGAACAGCAGGGGAGGGCAGGGGAGTGGAAAACGCAGGGGGGGGGGGGGATGCACCATCCTCGAGCGGGCGCGCACGAAATGCACCCTCAGCGCACCGTGCAACGACATCAGGCTACCACCCAGGAGACCAGGTGGGCCTGGCAAGAACAGTGGTGGTCAATTGAAGCCCCCCGATTCTTCGTGAAGGAGGAGGAGGAGGACGAGGAGGAGGAGGAGGAGAAGGAAGAGGAGGGCGTCCACTGTACCTTGTGCAGTCCCGTTTGAGCACTCCGGCAACACGATGCTCGGGAGCGGAGGTCCAAGACCAAAATATACCACGACACCGCCTAGCACGAAAAAATCAACCGCCGCAACGCTATTCAAAATACAATGAAACTCATTGTATTTTGAATAGCGTTGCGGCTTTGGGAGCGCCCATTCAACTGGGCTCTGGGTCGTGGCGGCTTTGAATTTTGAATGGCGGGTCATGGCTTTGGGAACGCCCATTCAGAATGGGCGCTCCCAAAGCCATGACCCGCCATTGCACGCGATGGGTCTGCCACGATACGGTGGGAGAGAACCACCCAAGCAGAACACCCTCGTCGCAGGATGGATACGCTCCAGCAAGGAGCCCACAAGCTCCAATGTTCTGGGTGAACTGGAGGTTCAGATGTTGGACTCGCCCAGGCCGCACTCTCTCTTCTGGCCGTGGCCGACCTGGAATGACGACTATCGGGGCGAGGGACCAACTGTATGCGGGTGCGAGTGTCGCAAGCAAGGCAGGTGGGACGAAGGAGGGCCAGGTCCGTATGGCGCCACGGAACATCAGAGGGGGGTCCCGGCAGGAGTGCGGGGCCGCCATGCGCACCCTGCAGCTGGGGCCTTCGGTGGAGGCCCCCTGGATCCACGAAACGTTGTGTGGGAGGTGCGCCGAAATGGGTGCGGGGCCGCCATGCGGACCCTGCCGCTGGGGCCCTCGGCCCTCGGTGGAGCTCCCTGTGGGGACACGAAGCGTGAACATCGAAATTGGGCTGCCATGTCGACCCGGCCGCTGGGGCCCTCGGTGGAGCTCCGTGTGGGGCCACGAACCGTGTGAGAGGTGTACCGACATGGATGCGAGGCCGCCATGCGGCTCCTGCCGCTGGAGCCTTCGGAGGAGCCCCGTATGGGGCCACGGAACATGTGAGGGCTGTGCAGAAATGGGTGCAGGGACGGCATGCGGACATGGTCGCCGCGGCCTCCGGTTGTGGGAGCAAGAAACGTTGTGTGAACGGTGTGCCTGCATGGGTGCCGGGCCGCCGTGTGGACTCTGCCGATTGGGGCCCTCGGTGGTGCCTCCAGGGGTCCACGAAACGGTGTGTCCCAGGTGTGCCGCAGTTGGTGCTGGGCCGGACCCTGCCGCTGGGGCCCTCGGCGGAGCTCCCTTTGGGGCCACGAAACTTGCACATCGAGATGGGACCCGGCCGCTGGGGCCTTCGGTGGAGCACCCTGTTGGGCCACGAAACGTGAAAGAGATGGGCCGAAAGGGCTGCGGGGCCGCCACGCAGACCCTTCCGCTGGGGCTTTCGGTGGAGCTCCGTGTGGGGCCACGAAACGTGCTTGAGAAGTGTGACCAAATGGGTGCGGGGCCGCCATGCGGACCCTGCCGGGCTACGAAACGTGCAAGGCGTATGCCGAAGTGGACATGCGAAGGGCACAGGCAGAGATGGAAGGAGGGGAGGAGTATGTAGGAGAGGGGAGGCGGGATGGGAGACGTAGGGGCGCTCTCTCTTCAAAACAAGAACCCCAGAACACAGGGTGGCTGGAAAAACTTCGATGAGCCTGCCTCGCGCACCAGACCTCGGACAGCTGAAATAGCAAGGACCCATGCCCCTGACACACTCTGGACCTGGGAGACAAGGAATGGCGTGAATCCCCTGCCCCCTGCTGCGCGTATGCACACGAGACAAGTCCACCGGCCTTCCGCTGCAAGGCCGTGCGACCAGGAACCGGGTGAGAAGCCGACGCCCCTGTCACACACAAACTGGACCTTGGAGGCCTCGACCAGTGAGAAGACCCCTCGTGCCACACTCACTGGACTTGGGGGGCCCCCGGACTGCAAGGTCCGTGTCCCTGCAGCACCCTTTGGAGCTGATGCCGCTGTCACTCTTTCCGCAGCTGGGAAACTTGAAAGGAACTCCGAAACTGAATTATTATTCCCTTTCTCTGCGTCCCCCCCCGGGTTACGGGACGCCCCACCCAGTGCTAACGATGTGTCCTACCTGGGGCGACAGAAATTACCAGCCTCGACATTGTCCCTATCAAGCCCAAGGCGATGACAATCTTAGGGATGGGCCCTCTGAAACTCGGAGGAGGAACGACCATCGCGGCCGAGAACCCGTCGGCGAGGGACCGACCCCTTGGCGGTGGCACGCCCGAGCGTCGCCCTGTGCTGGGGTGCCGCTCGGGTGTGCCGCCGCCTACTGTTCTTGGAACGTAAAGCCGACGTAGTCGCACAACACGGCCTGAGCCAGAAATGTTCTGGGAGCATGTCGTGCAGACCACAAAAGGCTATTGGAACATTACTTGGGGTCGGAGTAGATGGGGTCGGAGGATCGCGCTGCATCGCCGATACATCGGCGACGCATCGGCGATGTATCGGCAATGCATCGGCGATGCACCGGCGATGCATCGTCGACGTGGGCGATGCATCGGCAACGTCGACGTGAAGCAAATCGGGCTCCGCATCGAACCGAATCGCCGATGCATCGGCGATGCGGCGCGATCCTCCAACCACATCTGCTCCAACCCCATCTGGGAAGCCCAGACTACAGTGGACAAGCGCGTCCCACGACTCGCAAAGATACGACTCTCAAATGGCCTCGATCCGCCGCTGGGGATTCAAGACACACCAGATCGAGGAACGCATGTGCTTGTTCGAACGCCTGCGGGTATGCACTTTGCGAGTAGCGGAACGCGCTCGGTGAAGTTGGCGTTAAGTCGGGCGTGTCCCCCTACATGAGATTTTGGACGAAAAATGCAACATACAGCAAAAAAACAAAGATGCCCAAACATAGTCAGAAAATAGTCCCCAGACTATTTTTTGACTACTTCTGCATATGCCTCCTGTGGAGGGAAAGGCCCGACTTAATGCTGGCGAAGCAGAACGCCTCGCCGCTGCCGGAGACAGCGCGCGGCAGGGCAGCGCAAGGGCCCCGCCCGCTCCTGCCCGGCGCCCCCAGCCGCATCGGCAGCGGGGGGAAGGCCTCCTGGGCGAGGTACGGCGTGGGCGGGGAGAGAGGGGGCCGGTGGTCACGAGCTCGGATCGGGGATCCTCTTGGCACGAACGAAATGGGTACGGAAAAAATGGGTACGATGCCCAACAGCAGTTCCTGCTCGTTTTGAGCAGGACTCGCTGTCGGTGTCGCTGCGGCCTGTGCCCATTTGAGACAGAAGGCCGCCTGCCCAACAGCGGTCGCTGTTGGTTTGGGTCAGGGATCCTTTGGGGCCGGGCGGAAAGGGGGGGACAGCAAAGGGGAGGTTTGAGGATCAGCTCACGTAGCTGATTTTCATGGCGCCTCCCGGCGCTGGGAGCCGGCTATGTATCGAGGAATGCGCCCGGCGGCGGGGCCGAAACCAGCTGCGTGCAGCAAATCTCGTAACCCCCACTTTCCCAATCCCCCCCTTTCGTCCAGCCCGATCCTCTGACCCAGGTCGATCCAGACCCGGTTCAGCACGAAACCAAAATATACTGCACTGCGGGACAGGAAAACTGCAACGCGGGCCTTCGCAAACCCGGGTCAGCCAATAATAGGCGCGGCCGCCTCGCGGCCACAAGCGGCTCGCTAACCCAGGTCAGCCAGAAAGGGTCTTCGCAGGATCCTGCAGGATCTGGTGCCCTGGCTGACCCCTGTTTGCATTGACCCCCGTCTCAAGGCTCCCGAAAGAATATGTTCCCACGAGTCCGGCCACCAAAACAGGCAAACCGATCTAGACATCCTCAAAATCTGGCCCACCTGGGTGGTGAAAATGCGCGCCTCGCTTGAGACATCGTCCAAATCTGCTCCGAAAGCTAAGATGTTGGGACAGAAAACCAAGATCTGGTGCCCTGGCTGACCCCCGTCTGCATTGACCCCCGTCCCAAGGCTCCCGATTGGGCTCCGGGGGGGAGCGGCAGAGGACCTCTTCAGAGGGGGCACAGCTCCTGAGAGGTGTCTTCGGTGGAACGACTGCGGGCGGTTGTACACCCGATTGGCGGGCCAAAACACTGGATTAGGCCCGAGTGGGCCTGGGGATTAAAAGGCCGGAGCAAGCGGGATGAAGCGGGATGGAGCGGGATTCATCCGAATTCATCGCGATTAAGCCGGTTAGCAGCCGCGGAGATAGCAGCGCCGATACAGAGTCCAACCTCCCAGGAGTTCCACCCTAGAGATGAGGAGGAGGATGGGGGAGGAGGAGGAGGAGGAGGAGGAGGAGGAGGAGGAGGAGGAGGAGGAGGAGGAGGAGGAGGAAGAGAGGTGATGACATCTGAGGCCGACCCCCACCAACCATCGAATTCTCTTGCATCGATGGGAGGCGGGGGTGGAGTTCAGATTCTGCCACCTGCGCGCTGCCTGATGGGCGAGGACAGGGCTCGGATGCCGCCGCCGAGAGGAGGGAAAGCGCCTCCGTCAGTCGTGGCGGGCGAACCTCCGGCCGCTACGCCTGGCCCTGGTGGACACCAGGCCCGAGCATGGTTCGGTGGCGTGGCCGCGGCTTCAGAAATGATGGGGGGAGGAGGAGGATCGCACGCCACTGAAGGAGAGAGAAAAAAGAGAGAGACTCCGACGGTCCAGCGGAAAAACCTCCAGAGGGGGCCCATCCGAGAGGACCTTTTCGTCACCCTGGCTGGAAGGCCGAAGACTCCGAAGACCAGCCAGTGGCCAAGACAGGGCCCCCTCTGAGGAAAAAGGCTCGCCGTCGTCTTCCCTGTGAGCAGGTCAGGGGCTCACCTCTATCCGGCTGCTTTCTGTCCTGGGGGCTCCCTCCATTGAAAACCTAGGGAACCCCAGGATGCGCAGCCCATCCCTCGTCGCATCTCTGCCGCTGGCTACAGCCGGGGGATGGGCCGCTTAACCCCGCAGGGTTACACGCAACTGCCTGATGCCTGACACGCCAGCGCCCAGAGTCCATTTACCCAAACACGCTGGCAGCAGCCTGGCATCAACGGCGTCGGCTGCACTGCCTAAGAACTCATCACGAAAAAAATCTGCCCCCCAGGAAAAAAACGCACACCAACGTAATGCACTCCACCAGCACAGAACCTTGCCTCAGAAACTAGCAGCCTCTTTCAGCTGAGCGTTCAAGGAGCTTGGACAGCTGCGCCACTCCGTAGCCCGCGAGGTATGCCTGCCGAACCATCAACTTCGTGGTCTCGCCTGCGAACTCCCAGTTCTTCAGGGTGGTGAGCTTGCGCTCGGCCTCTACCCTGCGCCCTGCCTCGTGCAGCATGCCCTAGAAGTGCTATGCTGAGCGTTCGGCCTCCACGAGCTTGCTCTCCACCTCGACTTTGGCTTTGCGCACTGCCTCCACCATGCTCTGCGACTGCTGCGCCATATTGCGCTCTGCCTCTGCCGTGCGCACCGCCTCCTGCAGCATGTCCTCGAGACAGCGCAGATCGCTCTCGGCCTCGACCTTCGCCTTGCGCTCTGCCTCCATCATGCTCTGCGCCTGCTTGGCCAACTGCCGCTCGGACTCTGCCGTGCGGACTGCCACCTGAGGGATGCCCTCCAGGTGGTTCAGCTCGCGCTTGGTCTCCGCCTCGCGCTGGGCCTCGACATGGTTGCGCACGGCCTCGTGTATGGACTTGCTCTCGGTCTTCAGCAGGTCCTTCGCCCCAGCACCCTCCCTGTTGTCCGTGAGCTCGTCCTCGACCCCAGAAGCCGTCGAGCCCTCGCTGGCCGAGGGCCCGATCACAGGAGCGCGCAGGCCCTCGAGAATCCGCCGAGGAAGTCCACCGTCAACTGGATGAGCTGCCACGCGGCGGCACGACCGCCACTTGCAGAAGTCATCCGCGAGCTCCCTGAAGCCGCGCCTCGCCAACCCCAGCCGAACGCCTCCTCCAGACGCCCTGCGACCAAGCTGCAGGACCTCACGAGCATCACGAAGAAGCCCCTAGACGTCCCTCAGGCACTGCACGCTGCGGGCGCCCTCCAGGTCCTCCGCCAACTCCTTCATGAGCCTGGCCGCCGTCTGCACGTCGCTCACGTGCCCGATGATATTGCCATGGCGCACCGTGATGCCTCCGCGCGGACGGGTCATCGCGTGTCCCGGCGCCTGCGCGACCGCGCAGGGGGGAAGTCCGTGAAGAGTGAGCAGACTCACTCGAGCACAAATGGCTACGGATGGGGGAGGAGGAGGAGGAGGAGGAGGAGGAGGAGGAGGAGGAGGGGAGGAGGGCGAGGAGGAAGGGGGGAGAGGGGGGGGGAGAAGGAGGAGGTAGAGGAGGAGGAGGAGGAGGAGGAGGAGGAGGAGGAGGAGGAGGAGACGAAGACGAGGACGAGGAGGAGGGAGGAGGAGGAGGGGAGGAGGAGGAGGAGGGGGAGGAGGAGGTGGGGGGGGGGGACGAGGCAGAGGAGGGCAAGACTCTGGCATCTCATGGCTCTCTCTGGGCCTCCCGGAGCACCCTCGTCGCCACGGTGGGGCTTGACTCGAAAGCCTCTTCCGAACGAGCTCCAGGGCAGCTGCAGTGGTATATTCTGAGGGGGGAGGAGGGCCAAGGTCGGCGGCGCGACAGGGGGGAAGTGAGGGAGGGCAGCTCCTACTCCTCCTCCTCCCTCCTCCACCTCCTCGCAGAACTCGGGCAGCGGTATTGACAATCGACCTGCGATCTGAATTATCAACGAGATGAAGTTGCAAGAAGCTCACGGCAAAGCCACCGAACGCATGATCAGCTGCGAAGCTCTCTCGGATGCAGCTGCGACACCGCAATCGGGAAAACACAACTGGCGGAACGATGCGAAGCCCCCCCGTTACCTCACAAGCTGAAGAAGTCTCCCCTGAAAACTGGTGGAACAGCGAAATGGTTCACAGAAACGTTCAGCGCTCATTGATGTGTTCGAAATCTCACCAGCCCTCGATGCGTGCGTAGGCGACTCCCGGGTCAACTCTTCCGACTCCTCCTTTCCCTTCGGGGAGGAGTTGACTCCTGCCCCCATCTCACACATGACCAGTTCTCACAACCGAACCCGAATCCGATCCCAAAACTCGTGTCGGACCTTTGGTGAGCCGTCTTGGGCTCGCTGGGGCAACCTTGGACAACTGAGGATTGATAGTGTCGGCAACCGCGTGACTGTGAACGGTGTGGGAGGCGTCTAGGGGCCATCTCGGGGGGGGAAATCAGGACCGTCTTGGGAACTTACTCTGGCCCTTCAGGGCCGCAATGGGGCGTCCATGCCACAAAACATCGAGCATCAAGGTTACATAGTGTTCGGGCTGGAATGCTGGAATGGCTGTGATGCATTGATGCACACAAGAGCCCCGAAGTGGCGTCCTACACCGAGCAACAGTGCACAACATGGAATCCCAACAGATACATACAAATACAATGAACGTGTGGCTGTCGTTGCCCCTTTGTGAATGACGTGTGGGTGCTCACCAGGGCCAACGACGACCCACATATTCAAGCGACAAGCCGACTCGCTGAGCACTCCAGCGACAGAAGCAAGAAGCAACAGCATGGCAACATAACCCCGTGCATACAGACTTCAACACGATCGGAGCTTGACGGCCCACGTGGCGCGGCACGCTCGGCACGGCGTGGACACCGCGCGGCACGGCAAGCGGGCCGCGCACACAACTTTGCAGCACTGGCACGTGCAGCAGAGGCCACTCCACAGGAAACCCTCCACGAGAAACCCAACCCTGAGATCCCAGGACGTCCATCGGTTGTTGGTTGGGGGGGGGGGGGGGCGTCACGAGTTCCACCGCAAAAGCATCGAAGCAGCCCACGGGAAACCCTGGGGGCGAGCAGGGCGTGTCTTGGCATGGGCCTCCACTGTGCATAAGGCACGGCACGGAAGCACGCACGGTAGATGACTGGCCTTCTGAAAATTCGGCGCGACCTGGCATGCCACGCGAGCTGCACAGGTTCGCGCTCTAGATCTGAAGCGGCCCCGGGACACACAAACAAATACACACAAATATAAAGAGTCCCCATATTTCCCCATATCTTGGGGGCGTTCGTCTTCCCCCCCACTTCCCATATGTTTCTATTTTTTATGTTCCTATTTTTTGGGGGGAATCGACGATTAATTGCGTCTACAGGAGAGCCCAGAATCGAATCGATAAGTCGAATCGGCGATCGAAATGAATCGTATCGGCGGCAATCCACAGCCGAGTCGGTAAAAGTCGAATCGGCGGAAATCGGCAGGCCAGCATGCTTCCACGAAAGAACCGGGCCCCCATCGGAACCCCAGGTCGAATCGACTCGGAATCGGAAGCCATCGACATCGAACCCAATCGAACCGGAGGAGTCGAAATGGGCCCTGTGTCTTCGGGGATCTTCTGACCCGGGTCAATCCAGACCCGGGTCAGCAGGAAACCAAAAACTGCAATGCAGGAAAAAAAACTGCAGCGCAGGTCTTCGCAAACCCGGGTCAGCCAATATGCGCGGCCGCCTCGCGGCCACGAGCGGCTCGCTAACCCGGGTCAGCCAGAGGGGGTCTTCGCAGGATCCTGCAGGATTCGGCGCCCTGGTTGACCCCCGCCTGCATTGACCCCCGTCTCAAATCTCCCGATGTCTCTGTGTTTTCCCCTCTCCGGAAGAGCTTCGGCACGGCGCGGCGCGGCAGCTCGGCGCGTCGTTTACCGCGCGGCGCGGCGGGCGAGCGGCGCAGCGCTCTGGCAATCCTAGGGGGCCACGTGCGGACCCTACCCCTACAGTAGTGGCGTTGACCTAAGGAAACCTAAATGAGGAACGAGGCCCCTTTTTTCCATGAGTTGAACTTCGATTTCGTATCGAAAACCTGAGGAAAATCCAAGGCAAGCTGCGAAACAATCAAGGAACACCGAGCCCCTCCCCAACGAAAAGGGTTCCTTCTTCAGCGCCCCGACTGTACCCCTCACGGTTTCCGAGGGCGAGGGCGGGGTTCACTGCGCTCGGGAGCTCCCGAGCGAGGTGAACCCCACCCTCCCCCTCAGGAATCGTGGGGGGTATGGGGTAGGGTTCGGATGTGGCCCCCTAGCTCTGGACGTTGGCCTCGACACGAAACAGCTCGGCACGGCACACGTTTCAGACCTTCCACGCGGATCCCAGAAAACCGAGTCTCGTGATGCAGATGGGCACTCACTGTTCAGGAGACACATCGGCGAACCTGCAGGAGCATACGAAAATCGGTCGTCTTGCACGAGGCGCAAGTTTCTACACCAAGACCGTGCACTTCAAAAAGAGCCCCAAACCCCGCCCCTACTCCAGCTCCAACGGTAGAGCAATTGAATTCAGGACAAGATGTTGTACCCCCAGCTGTCTTCCCAAAGCGATCAGACAAAAAAAAACACTACAACACAAATATTGCATTTCTCAAGACGAAGAACCCAACCATCTCCAGGTGCGAGTGCAGCAGAGCGGGTAGGACGAAGGAGGGGCAGACCTTTATGTGTGCCGAGGCGGGCGCTGGGCCGCCATGCGGACCCTGCTGGTGGGGCCTTCGGTAGAGCTCCCATTGGGGCCACGAAACGTGCGCAGGGTGTACCGACATGGGTGCGGGGCCGCCATGCGGACACTGCTGCTGGGGCCTTCGGCGGGGCTCCCTATGGGGCCACGAAACATGTGAGGGGTGTGTCGATATGGGTGCAGGGCCGCATGTGGACCCTGCCGCTGGGGACTTCGGTGGGGCTTCCTATGGGGCCACGAAACATGTGAGGGGTGTGTCAATATGGGTGCAGGGCCGCCATGCGGACCCTGCCGCTGGGGCCTTCGGTGGGGCTTCCTATGGGGCTCCAAAATATCTGATGGTTGTGTCGAAGTGGTGATGGTTGTGTCGAAGTGGGTGCGGGGCCGCCGTGCGGTCCCTGCCGCTGAGGCTTTCGGTGGGCTCCCAGTTGGGCGACGAAACGTGTAAATCGGTGCGGGGCCGCCATGCGGACCGGGCCGCCGGGGCCTCTGGTGGAGCCCCCTGTCGGGCCACGAATCGCGCGTGAGATGTGGGACCGCCGTGCGGCCCCTGCCGCTGGAGCGAGCCTTCGGTGGGGCTCCCCATGGGGCCCCGAAACATGTGAGGGCTGTGCAGGAATGGGTGCGGGGCCGGCATGCGGACATGGTCGCCGGGGCGTTCGTTGGAGCTCCCTCTGGGAACACGAAACGTGCGGACCTGACAGGAGCCAGAAGAGCTCCAAGACGCATCCAAGAGGCTCCTAGAAGAACATGGGTGTACAGCTGTTGGCCTCTTTGTGACACTGTGCGCTTCATATATCTACTTCCCTTCTTCCGACACATCGCTGGGGCATCACTTCTGGATGGCCTGGACGGAATACCGTTCGGCCGAGGTGAATCGACGGATTGACTAGAGAAGTGTTGAAAGTACAGAGGAGGCCAGTCCACAAAAAACCTTCCAAAAGAAACCCAACCTGGAAAACCCAGGACGTCCATTCATGTTTGGTCTGGGAACGTCACGCCTGCCATCCCAAAACCATCGAAACCCAAGCAACCCAGCGCACCCTGGAGGCGAGCAGGGCGTTTCTTGGCATGGGCCTCCACTGTATTTTGGGTTCCCGCCAACCCCCTGGAACGGATTGACAAGGAGGTGCCATTCCATGATTGAGATAGGAAAGCGCCTACCACTGAATAAAGCCTGGGAGTCCCCCAGAAATAGCCGGACGAAAAACCCAACCATGTGCAATTGTGAGCATAGCACTTGCGAGTACCGTCTTCGGCGCATCTCCTCACAGTGGAGGCCAGTGCACAAGAAACCTTCAACGCAAAACCCAACCCTGGGACCCCAGGACGTCCATTTACGTTTGGTGTGGGAACGTCACGCTTCCCATTGCGAAAACCATCGAAACCTAAGGAACTCAAGGCACCCTGGAGGCAAGCAG